TACCACAGTTTGAGAACCACTGATATAGGGCATTAAAAAATTAAGATATTTGCAAGCACAATGTTGCCTCAATCCCCCCAAAATGTATAGGTTTAACCTTTTCATTTGGAGTGCAGATGACGTAAAAAATACATAAAAGAAGCAAATGTTATCAAAGAAAGTGTATTGGAGGTCATGTGAGTTGGAATATGCTTTGGGTATGCTTGGTGTTATTTTTTGGTAATCTGTAAAGATCCAACCATTACATTTCAGTGTTTCTGCATCACTTTCACAGTCATCTTTTGGAACAATTTTGTCTCACTGTGGATTTGGACTCTTTTTCAGGTTATTGAACAAGCCACAACTTTGTTTTTTCTGACATTATTCAAAGATACTCTATAGAATTGCTGTATAGATACTGTATTGTATTTTGTGTTCATATATCATGGTAAGTGCCCCTCACTGGTCCTGTAGGAAATGTAGGATTTCAGAAAATAATAAAACATCATCAGCTGCAAAATATGTACCATGAATTTGAAATTAAATATTTTCTGGTAACAGAATTGACCTGGAATAAATTTTCTCTATATTATTATTCCCTGCATTGTAGGTGCCCTACAACAAGTTACTGGGTAAGCATTGAATGGCATACTTATTACACCCAAACATCCAAATAACCCTTTTCTTTACACAAAACATGCAGTTCAGGATTAGGGTTATTTTGCCAGTTCTATTTCCATCCTTGATAAGAAGCTTTTTTTTAATACTCTGGATTTAAAATGATTCCCTATGTAGTGTTAGGAATTTTATGTTATCCAGCATAATCCACTGTGCTACGATGAGTCTTTTTTTAATTAAACTCTCAAAAATCTTGGCAAAGCCACTGTTGTCAACATTTGCTGTCAGGATATGTAGTGTGCTGAGCAGAGTCTCAGAGCCTGATCACTTGTCTCAGGGTGAGATACAAAATACTAAAGTCATGGATGCCAGATTTCTCCACATACTAATGAGCAGAAAAACAAACAAAAAAAGAATTGTAACCATCTAGTTTGTTTGCTAATGATTAATTGATCCAGAAATCTCTTCCAGCTATTTCTTCATCCTAGTGAATTACTTTCAGGATAGTGGTTGAATAACTTGTGCCAGAAATATACTATCTTCTGTACCAAATATTGTTTAGACTCCTAAACTCACTCCCTTAAGTTTCCACTTGTGTCTGTTACAACCACTTCACCCTCAGAGTACAGGGGCAGTTATGAAGGTATTACAGATGCAGGAGCTAGAGTGTCACAGTCCCGCAGAGCCCGCAGAGCGGGACTGTGCAGATTGCTGGTGGCCGGGGATAAAGGACAGCCTGGGATAGCTTTGGATGCAGGAGGCTGGAACTGCACGCAGGGAAAGAGTGTAGGGAAGGCAGAGGGAGGATGGAGAGAGCCACCAGAAGCCAGAGGTGTGCTTCATCCAGAGCGTAACACAGGACAGAGGGGTTCCACCTTCAAGGTCAGGTAGAAGTCGGGTCAGTCATCCAAAAGGCACACTGAATGCTAGGCTGAAAGGAACTCGTTCTCTATGCTGGGTCTCCTGCTGAGACCAGGCCAGTGTCAGGGTGGACAGTGGAAGTGCACCAAAGATCAGGCATCTTTGGGAGGGAATCATCTGCTGAGGTCTGGGTCCCAAGTGAAGTTCTGTCATCTGACCTAATCTTAGCACCCTGAATCCTCTCCAGAGCCCAGGTGGAGCATGGAGACTGTAAGCCAGTGCTTCACTGGGAAGCTGGTAAGGTGGCTCAGGAGTCAAGCGACATACACAGCAATGTCGGCTCATTGATGAGTGACTGAACAGGGTTTACATACCCCTGAGGACCTGCTATCGTGAGAATTCTCACTACACCCAGGTGGTCAACATATCAGGAAGGTGATCAGGAAGAGGTGTGGCCAGAAATCACTGTGAGTGCCACATGTCCCACTGTGATGAGCAACAGTGATCTTTTAAATGCTTCTACATTTTACTGTTGATCCTGAAGCAAAATTTTGTGTAGATAGATAATTTGGCCATATTTCCTTTGCTTTCCTTAAGCACTTAAAACAGCATTTCCCATGTTGTTGTTTTTTTATGTATAAGGATAGTGTTGCATTTAATGAAAGCACTTGTTATCTAACCTAATCACAGAGAATAAAAAATATAATTAAATCGCCTGGAGAGAAACATGAAAACAAGGAGAATTGTAATTACATGACAAAACTTCACAATTGTTTTCTTTATAGACACTAATGAATCAATGTTTGAAACTACAACAACATTTTAATCTGTATTCTGTACATTCTTTACATGTCTTTTTGGTCCAAAACCCACCTGTTTTTACTACCGTGTATGTCCAGGTATCTGTTTGTTTCAAAGAGTGGACTGAAGCAGAAAATCAAATGAGTCAATTTTTCTAGTAAACTGTCCAAACCTCATTTGGAGTGAGTACAATAATATTGATTTTAATAAGCAAACAGAAAGGACAGATGGAAAAAAAGATACTGCAGAAGCTAGTCATGGTTCTTTCCTGTACACAATTTCAGTAACCAAAGAAAACATTATTACAAAGTGCCAACACAATCAAGATTAATGCATGCTATGAACAGTAGCACCAGCTACAGTGAGACTATGGAAAACAATTGTCAGCTCAGCTGTAGTATAACTAGCCCTGCACTTACAAACAGTAAGAGTCTGTTGCTGTACTTCCAATATGTGTTATACTGTAACTGTTATGATATAAATTAAAGACAAGAAAAACTTTCACATTTGCATTTTTCTGCTTAGGAACAACTTAATTTTTAGATTAATCATAATGCTTGCTGAACATAAAAACATTGATAATAATTGCTTACACTTCTATAGCGCTTTTCTGGACACTCCACTCAAAGCGCTTTACAGATATGGAGACTCTCCTCCACCACCACCAATTGCAGCCCAACCTGGATGATGCAATGGCAACCACAGAACGCTCACCACACATCAGCTGTTAGTGGGGAGGAGAGCAGAGTAATGAAGCCAATTCATAGATAGATGGATTATTAGGATGCCATGATTGGTAAGGACCAATAGGAAATTTGCACCCCTACTCTGATCTTTTTGAGAAATGCCCTGGATTTTTAATGACCACTGAGTGTCAGGACCTCACTTTTACATCTCATCCAAAGGATTACTTTTTAAAGTATAGTGTCCCCATCACTATACCCGGGCATTAGGACCCCCATAGACCATAGGATTATTACCCCCTGCTGGTCCCACTAACACCTCTTTCATCAGCAACCTTAGATTTTTCCAGAGGGTCTCCCATCCAGGTACTGGCTGGGCTCACACCTGCTTAGCATCAGT